CTCATGCCCGATTGTGCCACTGTGCACAATCGGGTATAAGTACTGTACCTACCCAATGTGGATTAGATGTCCCAAGCATGCAAAGAGTTCATGCCCGATTGTGCCACTGTGCACAATCGGGTATAAGTACTGTAACTATTCAATGTAGATAAATGCCTGAAGAAAGAGTTCATGCCCGATTGTGCCAATGTGCACAATCGGGTATTATGTCAGTGTTAATGTTCCTGTGTTATTATCATCCAGCTTGATTACCTTTTCTTATTTCCAAGTTGTGCATGTCATAAGGCATCCTCTAACCCAGAAAGGACCCCTGTTTAGAGGGTATAATGCAGTCGCCACTGGCAGCCACGCACTGCGTTGGAAGCGAGCGTCAAGCGGTAGGAGCCAGCGTCAAGGGCAGTGGTCGGCGCTCGAAACGGTCCCTACCGACCCCTACCAGAGCTCATAACCCCCTACTATGCATAATCGGGTATATCAGTGTTAATGTTTTTGTGTTATTTATCATCCAGCTTCATTACCTTTTCTTATTTCCAAGTTGTGCATGCCATAAGGCATCCTCTAACCCAGAAAGGACCTCTGTTTAGAGGGTATAATCGTGGTAAGAAAGCGTCTAAATCATGTGACCCAGAAATAGCGCCGACCGAGGCGCTTATCGACCCAGCGGCTATTGGGCGCATCTGATGTGTTTGATGGCGGCAGACAGTGATGGTGGATCATCCTGCCCCACGAACGTCGGGCCGATGTCGGTGATGCGCCTTACGGCCATCAGTGGGCGGTCCTCCGACGGTCTGGATCCACCACGTGACGTGATGTCATAACTACGTCATCTTTTGACCGTGCTAACCGGTCTTAAGTCGCATCAAAGTGGTCCTGCTGACCATTCCCATATAGTATGCCCGAGCCTCTTACAAGGTTAGAATGACTCCATCTGCCGATTTTGCCAAGGGCTGGCCAATCACAATGCAGATAGTCATAATGCCCATTACACACCTGTCCGATGGCTTCAGCTTCGGCATGCGGTGTCCATGGTACTGCCCCTCCCTGGGGTCCCATGGCGCAAGGTATAAGTACTTCCTGGAATGCGCTAATGAGTGTCACCACAAAAGCAACCGGAGTTCCTCACAGAACTCGGTCCTTCGCATTTTAGTCTCACCTCAGCAATGTCACCTCGCCTCGCTTCGCTTGGCTCGACTCCCCCCAACCCTAAGCAACAAGACCTTAATAAAATGAAAAGAGCTGCATGAGCACACTTACATAGGCTTTAAACCATCAGCGGATGTCTATGTTTATGTCTTAAATGATATCGGTAATGGTTCTCCACTTAGCGAAGTCCTTGTTATTGCTGGGAGGCAGCTCAAAGACCGATCGTTCTCTTTTGATGACAGACTTCAATTTGGAATGTCAGTGTCGAATGACATCTGCTTTAAGATGCTCAGTGCTTATTGTCATTCTGTTGACAGCAATGTCCCCCTTGTAAGCCGGAAGGCATGGAGGCAGGAAGATATCCAATGCCCATGCTCGGACATTGGTCTGCACTTGGCAGACAGGTTGAGATAGTATGAACCTTCGCAAGCTCGTAAAGACACACCTTGAACTTATTTAAAGGTTGCCAGGAAGCCTTCTCGACACTCTGGTCTTTGTCTCGCTGTTGAGCAACGAGCAGCGCGGCATATATCTTTGCTTCTCAAATGACTTGCGAGTCCCTGTTGTGATACATATGAGAAGTTGTCTCACATACTACAGAATGCGAGGATTCACTGATACAAACTGCACAAGTTCTCCTACCTTCTCTGTGTGAAATCATTTTCTGGCACCCAGCTGCTTTGTGTACTCAATGTAGTTTTGGTTAGGTTGAATTCTTGTCGAGGCTGGGTCAGGAGGCGCAGTGGTGGATTGTGAGTCAGGATCAGATTGATCAAGGTGAAGAGGGTCATTGCTGAGGTCATCGCCGCTGTACTCATCATCGTCTCATTCACGCCGTTTTCTGGTTGAGGCAGTCAGATCAGAAGACAAGTGTACCGAGCCAGGGCCTCTCTCAGCAAATTCAGCAAATTCGTTGTCAAGGGTGCTTAGTGTGGGTGCCATGAGCTGTGGGAGATGTGGTTTGGGTCAGGTTCTGAGGCCACTGACCCATGCACAAGTCTTTATCAAAATTCAGGTCCCGCAGGCCATCCAAGACATCTCGGTAACGATGACTCCTCTTTAGGAATGCAAAAAATTATCCTCACCAATTGCACTGATATTTGACTGCCATGGCTCCAGCTGCCAAGCTCACTTTGCGAAGCCTCAAAATATATGGGAAAGATAGCCGACAGTTGCAAAACACCAATGAATTCCACGAAAAAGAGGGCCCATAATAAATGCCTGCCGCAGCCCTCTCACTCCCAAAAACTCATTTGCATTGCATGTGTGTTGAATATGCAGCACATGTACTAAATATACGGAACGCAGACAAATGAGACACCTGCACCATGAATGTCTGACGTCTGTGATGCACCCGCATGCACATGTGGCTCGCCCCCAAAGCACCCGTCTGTCTGGTCTCCGAGTGCAAGTTGGCGGTGTACTCACTCACATTCCTCTCGTCTGTCTCCTCAGCGTGTCGTAGCTCAGTCCAGTTGGATTGTTAGTTGCTGACAAGTTCGAGCTGTCTTGGATAACTTTATGGCATTAGTGGGGCAGTCACAGTCTTGCTGGTGACAATATCAAATCCTCAGTAGACTATCTCTCGAGATTTTCTCAGACAGACAGATGCTGTCTGTTCTCAAGGCAAAGATCACAGTATTGGATTGGCAACACTGTGCACTGGGCGCTGACAAAAAAGCTTCTGGGGAGTGTTTCGACAGCGCACCCATCCCAAAAAGTGCACCAAAACAATCTGTGATGTTGGCAGTGCCATTGGAAATAGCGAGGCCTCTCATCTGGGGAGCGTCTCGTCTTTCTGACCTTTTCTTACCATTATTGACTGTAATTTACTGTAATTTACAGCAGGTTAAACGGACTGTAACCTCCGGTAAATAATGTAAATTACAGGACTTATTTACTTGCAGTAGGCCCTGGACTTTCTTACATGTTACTTACACCCCCGGGGACTTTCTGACGCAACACTAGTCATCACTTACTACATCTAATAGATGATGACATTGAGCAATACTACAATACTTATCTCAAACAGAAGTGGATAGGACGAGTCATACCTCATTACCTAGTGTGTTCACGTGGAGGCGTGGCAGATGCAGAAGTTTCGACATGTCCTCGTACCGTGCGCGGTTGGCCATTCAAAGTTCCTGGCGCTGCTACATCATCGGGGGTATCCGTTACAACTGCTGTTTGGTTTCGGCAGCCTGCCGCGATCATCGTCTTGGCTCTCCGGTCTCACTCGTTCTGGCTGTTTCTGGTCCTCTGCCAGCTCTCTGGCCTTATCCTGCATCTCCCGACTTTTTTGGCTACCGGTTACTGATGTAAGCTGGCTGATTGAGGTGCGTAGGGTGAGGACGGCGGTGGTGAAAGGCCAGAGTTAAAGCTGCTCATAAGCGCACATACATCACGCAGAGTCCTCGCCTGCACAGTAAATGTCGAGCATTAGCATTCCCTGACTGGTACTATCCATGCCATACATGCTCCTCCATTACCTTCACAGCATATGTAGTTGTACAACTTACTACCTCGCCCTATGATCCTGTGATTAACTATACAGCTATAGCTTGTTCCGGGATTACTCTCTGCCTCATACCGTACATCTCCTCGCCCGAGCCGCTCTTCTAGGCAATGGCGACGAAAGCATTCAGCGACGCCGTACAGGCTGCACGAGCTCTGTATCCTCATCCATGAAACCAACTGCAATGTCATCAAATTGCTCGATCTCCTCCACCGCCTGTTTATCCTCTGGTCCCCAGCCCTCCCAGACTGCGTCCTCGTCGTCCTCGGCTGGCAGCGGCTCGATGTTCGTCGAGGGTGTTGAAAGAGACGCGCCTTCCCTCGACGTTCCACGTGACATGGTGTCATCGCGGTCGTCAGCGTTGCTTGCCGGAACACGCAGCACGAAGTCCTCGTCCTCCTCGTCAAACTCGAGTGGCACCAATCCCAAAAGCGAGTCACGTTTCGGTGCGAGGCGTGGCGAGCGCACCTTGCCGATCTCGCGACGAAGCCGCCCTAGTCCCTCGGACATGCCGTCGCTGATTCCCGCCGCGACGTTGCGAATCGGGATCGGGTTCCTGTATGAGCGTGGAGGGCCATTAGGATACATCGGAAGTACCGGTGGCGACGGCTTCAACATTCGCATGTCTGCCGAGACCGCTTCGTCGAACGACGTAGAGAAGCCCGACTGCGACGGAAGCGAAGAGCCAGAGACGAAGGACTCGCTCATTGACGAGCCCGATGCATTGACTTCAATCTGTCTGCGAACTTCAACCTTGCTAGCAGGGACGTCAAAATTGTAGCTGCGTAGCAGTCCGTGGTAGTCCTCCTCAAGAATATAGAAGGAGAATTGATGAGCCAGATATAGAGAACGAGGCACAATGCGCGTCGACCGCGAATACGTTGACAGCTCCGCTTGTGCGATCCAGCTGTGTGTATAAGGATAAGCAGTTGCATCGAATGAAGTAGTTGTGACTTACTCAGGCTTGGCGACATGCGCCAGACGCCTCCAAGACTGAGGTGTACGCAGCGAGCGTCGGATCTCCCTCCAGTCCTTCGACCTGCGCAGCATCCAGGTCGCAACGACATTCTCGTTCGCGACAAGCTCCGTCGAACGCGCCATCATCTTCGTCAGCGCGGACGGCGTGCGAGCAGTTCCGGCTGGGGCCTGCGCGCCGCTGAGGGTGCTTACCCCTGGTAGCGAGATGCTCGTACCTCCGGGAAGCGGCACGGTACCGAAGGTGGACGTAGTGCGTTCGCGGGTCTGCTTCAACAGCGAGATCCGCCGTAGCGACAGCATACCATCGCGCGGGTCAAATAGCAAAGTGTCCTGGTAGTGTGGGTGTCTGACAGGACAAATTAGCCGCACGCAAAACAGTAGCGGGTACTGTGCTTACTGTGATGACAGCGACGACGGTAAGTTCATTGACTGTGGAATGAACATGAATGCCAGGGGTACCGTGGTTGTATCTGGGCCTTGAGGCCGCTGCACACGCAAACGGACGGTAGGATGGATCTCCGTAGACAATGGCTGCTATACGGAGAGGCAGTCAGTATTTGACCACGTCATGATGCATTCGTACTTACCACCTCCCTAGCGTTAATTACTCGTCCGTCGAGGTGACTCTTCTCATCTGACGGTCCACCGTACGGGTTTGTGGCAAAAATATGTACAGTCCCTTTCTCTGTTGCAACGGCCGCCCAGCGTCCGTCGTGTTCCCAGGTGAGACTGTCGACGATAGCTGACGTACGCCCGCGACGCAGATCGTAGACGTGCCACGGTGAACGAAGCCCCACGTCTTCGTTCATAGAACTGCCGGGATGTCGTCGTGTGGGCCGTAGCTGATAGACTCTCATGACATGTCCACCGCGCATTGCAACCATGAGCGACGTGCCATCGGGGGAGAACTGGAGTTGGCTGATAGGCTGATCCTTCCCAATTAGGAATTCCGCAACGCGTGCAGGCCCTTGCGGAGCGTTCGGAGCGATCAGAGACGCGAGGTCGACGACTGTGACGTGGTGGACAACGTCGACTGGACCTTGTTTATCGTCGTTGGGGAGTTCTATAGTATCGGAAGTGGCATCAACACTTGTCCGGGCATGGTGCTGCTCGTCTCGTCCGCTAGCGGCAGGTGCACTCCTGGAGAAAAACTTGCCGGGCGTGGCAGCGGTGGCGTTCGCGTCAGTGGAATACCTGCGCTCTGCTGCTGTCGCCGCAGCTGAGACACCCGCCCGCGCAGCAGTAAACGCCATGCCACCGAGGACCTTCATGCCGCTTAGGACGCTGCCCCCGATCTTCACCGCCGCGGAGCCAAGCTCGGCTTGGGTAGTGGGGAACTTGAGAGCATTGTCATCAGAGCTCTGGGAAGCCGTGCGCGGAAGCCTAGACGGTGACTCGAGAGGCGACTCGAGCTTCGGGGGCGGCGAGGCATACGCAAGGAGCCGATTAGATAGCGAGAATATAGGAGAAGGTATCGCTGAGTGCTGAACGGAGTGGAGAGACGGGTCTACGTTGGGCGATAATACAGTGTTCATTTCTGACGTTGATGAAATGCGGTGTGCGAATGTAACGAGCGATGAAGAAGGGATAGTATACAGTGGAATGAGAGTCCGTGATGACAAGATATGAAGTGAAGAAGGTTGTGTCGCACTCTGAAGGCACCGTTACTACGCATCCAAGCGGCGTGCAACGGGAACTTACCAGTACAACGAAATCAGGCGAAGCCCTGAAGGATATAAGGGATGGTAACTTGACAGACTTGACGATAGAGTGTGAGCGCAAAGAGTAGACGAGGAACTCTGCGAGGTCCGGCTTTGAGGACTTACTAAAGCCCACAGTGAGTGCCCTGGCATAACAATGGGTAAATAGCACTCACACTATGCCGATTGCAGGACGCTGGTTCGCCAAAGGATCAACAGAGCCCGCCACAAGGGGATTAGGGTTAGGAAGAACCGCAGCCATTTGGATATTGCACCATTCGGGCCCGGAGAGGTTCAGAATCTCAGAGATAGACCCGAGATTGGAACAATCCCACATTTGCAGCCCGCTGTGATATCCGACCAGCAACACCCGGCTGAAGCGCAGGTCAAACACAAGACGTAGAGTGTAAACACCTATGTGCGTACCTGGAACCGACGCCGTTTACCTCGAAGTCATCCCATTTCGACCACACGATGTCCTCCCCGGAGTTTGAACTTGGATAGCGCGCCGCTAAAGTCGGTTGAACCGCTTCAGATACGACTTCTTCGTCGAGACTGAAAACGGCGGAATCTTCTAAGGTAAGCTGCCGCTCACGCCACCGGGCGCGTTGGACGGTGCTCACGTCGCTCCCACGTCGCTTTGTGGTCTCTCCGAAGGCTGTGTCTGGGCTGCACGGCGACGGTAAGGAGACATCACGTGATGGTGTTAGGAGCGTGCCAAAAGACAGCGGGCGGGAAACTCGCGGGGGTGTCGGGGCGACAGACGGTATCGGGATGGACGATGGTACATAGCCACGAATCGTACGCGAGAAGGACTCTAGGGCAGAGGGCTCCCTATGCACAAACGGTTAGCATATCATTCGATCTGTGGTAGACGTGCCGAAGAAAACGCGCAAAAGCTCGCGAATACAGCTCCTTCAAGTTGCGCGGAACCTGCGGGCAGATCGTGGCATCGCATACGTAGATCAATACGCGTATACGCGCGTGTGCAGCTCTACATGCCCCTGAGCTACCGGACGCGCCCAGACGTCGTCCAAATAGATAGATGCATGAACCGTCCCGACAAACGCGCGGTTGTGTTCGTATTTGGACATAGTCCGAATCTGATAGACAGAAGATGCACCTCTCGCCTGCAAACGAAGGCAATGGGGTGAAAGTGAACAGTTACTCACCGTGCAAGCACAGGGGACCGCACATGACCGCGCTCCTGCATCTCCGGGCTCTCCGGTAAGTCCGTGTCCACCAGCAGTTCTGGGCCCAGCGCCGGCGACTCAGGCCCAACCTTCCTTTCGACGGGAGATGCGCCACGTGTTGCTGCGGGAGGTGGTACGGGTAGCGGGGGTTCCTCGTCGAAGTGCGCCTGCTCCACAAGCTCTGACCCCAAGAGATCCTCTTCGACACCCCTCGGTGCTACCTCCTCATGTGTATACGCGTGCTCCGGATCGAACGGAGTGCCTGCCATGGCGGTCTCGAGAGCCGGCGGATGATCCGCTGGGGACGAAGCCGCTGAAGTCGACGGGGTGTCCTCGAGGAGGTGGTGGGAGTACATGATTGGCAATGCTTCAGTTCGCTGCTTCCGAGATGGAACATTGCGTTTGTTCTTGACTGGCATTAAACTAGAGGTAGGAATAGATGGATAGATAGTCGACAAAGACCAAGAGACACGGATATGAACGAATACGGAAAATGAGGTCAATGGGGGGCCTTGAAAGTTAATGCAAGACGGAAATGGTGGTGGGCGAAAGCAAGAGAGAATAATAGGAGAGCAATAGGATGGGATAACAATTGTTCGTGGTTGGCCGTCGTGGTCGCAGTGCAAGTGACGGCTGAGGTCCGCCAAGCCGCCCATTCCGAGTCATACTCCGGCCGACTGCTCGTTTCCCCAGTCTTGCCTTTTTAGGGCACTCTCCCTGATCAGCTCCACAGGAACGTTCGTCCGGACATCCCTGAACGAGTATTCGCCTGCGTTTTGACGAGCAATCACCAGACATACTTGCCTAGCTAGACAGCTCTCTACAAAACATGGAAAATCGCACCCAAATAGAGTATACAGAGTGCCGCCAATCCGGCGAAAGCGAACAAGCCTAGGACGTCGTACAAACGTGCAGCCTATTATCACTCACGGGATCCTTCTAGGGTCCTTGGGATACCTGCACCGAAAACAGGTAGGGTCCTTACCACGAGTCACCGCCTCGACGGAGTCGGAACAGCCAAGTTTGACTGACCCGTGTTCGTCTCGCGATAGCTAGATAGCATGAACGAAAGCGCGGCGGTGCTACGAGATTCAGAGGTAGCCCTCCGCAATATCCGAGCTCGCACCAGCACTGCCATTTCGGGGTAGATGTGCACATCGAGCGTTGCTGAAGCCGCACGGCGTAGCATTTGGAATATGCAGACGGGGCTGTTGCATTTTGAGCGGACCTGCTGGCAGCCCCGTTCGAGTGCGGGCGTCCTAGGATTGGCCATGTGGGGGAAGCGTGTATGCGATGTAACGTATAACGCACTGCATGCTCTAGATGCACTAGCAGTTAAGTAGAGACATTTATCCATGGACGTCGAAGAAGGGTAATATGAGTGGGAGAATGAACTGGTTTGACGGTAGTTCCGGTGATAGGGACTGCGGCTGTTTCAGAAAGGAAGGTTTGTAGAAAGCATACTGTCGCGGGCCCAAAATCACGCTGCTGCTTAATGGCATGCCAGGAACCTGGGTCGCATGGGGTTTGGAAATGTAGATGACGGCATCCCCAAAGCAGACGTCGACGCGATATGTCTAGAAGATAATCGAGCATGTCATTCGAGAAGCAGAATACGAATGGGTGTTCTACTACCATGACGTACACAATAAGCATTGGCCACATCATGAGCCTGAGCGTGCTCTGCCATCACTACGTGTATAAAACCCGAAGCGGATGAGTGAGTTTCGAGGCACGAAGGATAGAAGTCTAGTGATAGACCTACAAACGCCATGACATTGATATTCTCCTGTCGTAGCTGGCAATACATGGCGATGTGCCCAAGCTTTGTGGTAAGTACATCGCCCGCGCTCACCGTTAGCCTGCTGCCTGCAGCTGTCAAGTCCCGAGGCCTGCCACTTCAAACGAACGCCGTCCTTTCCAGCTAAGCGGCCATGCGGAAAGGCAGATGTCAACTCGTTCCGCAATTGGGCTGGCGGGCAGCATGAGTGGCGCGTAAATTGTGTGATACAGAGTTGCGACGTGCCTGAGCCGTGGCAGAGGCAAGCGAAGCCAATAGTTTGGAGTCCGCCACTGATAGTCGAGTAAGTGAATGCCGACGAATTCCTAGATGAGCGATACTTCTAGCGGTCGTGTCAAGGATCAATAGAACTTCTGAGTTGTGCGATAGGTCCAACATCGGCCCCATGGATCTCGTCTTAGCACGGGGCTGCCAGGAAGGGCGCCGCGCAGGAGCTGGGGCTCTGAGGCTGAGTTGCCGTAGACGATAGCAAACTGCCGCCCTGAGCAGTAGTAAGCGGAAGTTGCGACGGGACCTCGACAGTAGGCCCAAACGCAATGATTGGCCGGGCATTGAAGCGAACGAGTAGTTGTCTAGTCGGACTGAGTGTGGTCATGGCACTGAATACATTCGTCTCCAGCAGCAAAGTTCCCGCGATAGGGTGTAAAATTCATAGTGAGATGGCGTCCTGTGAAACAATGTTGAGGCCTGGTGAGGTCATGATTCGTTGGACACTCTCAGTAAACGGGACGATGAGCCTAGTTAAAATATCCTCGCGTGTTCGAGAACCCGAAACAGTGCGCAAAGGCTGTACGACAATTGAAAAGTGTGAGTAGAGGGGACGAGGAGATGATGAGGCTTGGTAGCCAGAACAAAGCCGCTCCAGGATTTCCCCGCCGGTGGCTTGCCCAATGTCTCGTAGAGAGCACAGGGTGGCCACATGTCGGTCTGGACGTCATCTGACACACCAGAACATATCTACCGGCCATTCAATGTGCGGGGACGAGCTGCTCGTCGGCACGCCGTGGTTCAGCCGCTGACTGACACGGTGGAGCGAGCCGTACCCTGCTCGTATCGTCCTCTGCTTGCGGTCCCCGATATAGATGCTGAAAGGGGACGAATGACCACGCGGTGGTGCATGCTCTGATCCGACACTGACACACAACCATGGTCTCACCTGCGGGCCCTGCATGGCCGGCACAAGCTGTGAGTACGCCCATGGGCAGCGCGGGGGCCCGAGTCTGGACAATCTGCGTCACAGCAAACTTTGTGCATGCCCCGCACCTTAAGGTGACGCTCAGTGCGAACTCGGCATACAGCGCCTGCGAGAGCAATGCGCCGACATCGAGGTCAGCCTTCTTCCGTCGGACGCTGTCCAGAGTGCGCTTCTGAATCCATGGGGCAGTACAAACCACAGGCGCATTGCAGCTTACGGAACGCAAGCTGGAATAGAACGGGAAGCGTCGAAGCTGGCGGCCGAGCATCGACGGGCCGCCGTAGACACGAGGTTCGAATCTATAGTCGCCATGCGGCCTTCGCGCGTCGCTACGAACGCTTCTTGCACCTCCGATCCTGTGCTCCATGGTACTCTCCAGCAGGACTGCTAGCTAACCGCTCGAACGATGTTGTCAGAGGGCGTCAGAAGAGCTGTTATAAACTTGAGCTCTTTCCAATGCGACTTTTGTGCGGCGGTTCGTCTATGCCCATCTATTGTCGAGAGCAGAAGTCGGCGAACTGCCGCAGGGACGGGTGCGCGAGGCCTATGGTGCCGTACGGCAGAGTAGCGCCACTTCAAGCTAGGCAGATCGTTCAGAGCGGAAGGCGCACTATGGCAGGCGGTAAATTGGGTATATTACGAGACTTGTTATCGTACATGATGTAGACACCTAGAGCGGACGAGCGGAAGCAGAGACGAGGGCGGACGGGGTTGCTGGCCGAGCATTGGGGAGAGATGACGACTTGCGCACATGCGCGCACACGAACAGAACGTATGCTGGGCGCTCGAGATTACGGTACCGGAGTAGCGACGACAAGCACATGGCACCAGCCTGTGCAACTGAATGGTAAAACGATGACACTCGAGCTCTGGCGTGGAGGATCAACCATCATCGAAGAGGCTGGCTGATTGACGAGTGTGGGCGTCGGCGAGGCTCTGCGCTGCCATGTTGGGCAGGGCAGACACATGACGCGATGTGTTCGCCGGCCTCGTTGGAAAGGCGTTGCTAGCGAGCGGCCATGGCCGTGGGCGGTAGGAAAACCGTGGTGAAAAGTGCGCGGATGTAGACATTGCGCACAGGGCGGGCGAGTTCGGCCTCCGGCGTGTGGGCTATCTGATCGATATCACTTACACACACCGTGAAGGGTCCGCCTGGGTCCGCTGGACGGCGGGGCATTGCGCGGGGCCCAGACCGGAGCGGGCGACTAGCCAAGTGAAAAATTTGGACGTCGGCTCGGGGTGAGCGGGGCGCGGGTGGCGGACGTCGGGGCTGTCGCCGCTGGCGTCGAGGAAGGAGAACAGGGGCAGAGTCCCTGAAACTTGGCCTGGTTTGGGCAAGTGTTTGTCGGCGGTCGAGTGGCGCCAATGGCTCAGCGCCCAGGACGTGCGTCGGCTGTGCGCGCGCAGGTGTCGCCGGAACGACGCCGAAGTGCCAACGTACGTAACAGTCGAGTAAGTCGTGCGCTGCGGCGCAAGCGGCGCGGATTTTCCATTCGAAGGCACGTGGGCGGGGATGTGGGACTGGGCTCGGGCAAAACGGATGTTGCGCCGACACCTCCTGCTTTCTATAGTCCGAAATCGGACCAACACATTGAGCGCGCCCGCGCATCAGGGGCTGTGGGCGCGTATCCGGAACGCTGCACTAGACCCCGGGAACCCCAGCGCGAGTTGTGTCAAAGACGTCAGCAGGATCACGGCCGCAGCGGGCCAGAACGAGTCGCGCCTGGGTATCGACGAGTAATATGCATGAGAGAGAGGGGCCTTGAGGCTCTCGCTTGCCGACGGAAGGCGGTATGAATCCTCGGAGCGACGCACAAGCAGCAGCGCATGTCACCCGCGTTCATGCTGTTCGCTGAATAGCTAGCGTGCTGTGGCAGGCGCAGAAGCCTTGGTGGGAGGCGCGGATGCGGGGCGGAGGTCGCTTGTGAGCTCAGCTGACGCAACCTGAAGACGTTGCCATTTGCAGCGTGCACGAGAACCCGCGGGGGCTTCTGAGTCTGATTATGTCCCACCAGCAACGACGCCAGGTCGCCCAGTGCCTAAATGAAAGAGGCGCATGAGAATGTGCCTAGAGACATCAGTACGTGGATGCTATAGGCAACGGGTGAACCTGTGCCGATCATGGTGGGAAGCGTGCTCCGGCCCATACGGAGGTTCAGGTCGACATGACAAAGTTACAAACTGACGTATCGGTATACGTAGGCGGAGGTCGCAGTCGGTATAAAGAAATGGAGGTGAATATGTGCTACACCAGCCTTTGCGCAAAGGCGTATCAGAGATACGAACAGCCCTCCTTATAACGAGTGCAGCACACCTCGCTCCTGAGAGCTCGCGTTCTGCGCGCAAAAGCTACTAGGACATATGAGGGAGGTAGGAGGGCGGTCTCTGGCCCGCCGAAAGTTCAGGGAGAGCGGCAAGGCCGTGAGCATGACCGAAGAGAGCCGCAACCGCGTGTATCAGACGTCGAAGTGTTCCATAGATTGCCAATGCTCGGAGAATAGGGAAGGAGCGCTGCACGCACCAGCGTGAGACTGCGCGCGGTTCACTGCGCCATAGACACTGACGACGACGACGACGGCGCAAACTGAAGATTGGAGGCGGGGGATGGGGGGCCGTCGTCGGCAACAAGAAAAGAGGAGGCCACCGGCGGTGTATACAGGGGCCACCGAGCGGTTCACAGGGGATGGGCGCGCGGGCGGAGAGCGCCGGCGGGATTCGGATCCCGAGCCCTTGATGGAGGTGGTGTCAAGGGTCCGGAAAGCGGGGCGTCATCGGGGTCACGGGCGGAAATCTGACCGGAAAGGAGGGCCTTCCCCAAAAGGTAATCCGGGGTCGTCTCGTTCCTCAAAATGCGCGCCGCCGACCCGCTCCCCCGCCCGCCCCTTCTCTCTCCCCTTCCCCCAACTCCTCCCCCGCCGACATCGTCCACAGTGTCGGCCCCCGCTTTTTCAACATTTTTACGAACTTGACGAACACTCTGTCTCATCTTCTCCGTGGTTCCGCTATTCCACTCTCGATGTCCGTCTCGCCACAGCTGACCCCGCAGGCACCGCCGCTGTCGAGGTCTCCCCAGTTGCTCGCCGCACCCGCTCCTGCGGCCCCATCCTTGAGCCATGCGACCGCCTCACCAAACGATTCCCCTGCCCAGCTCGCTTCCCTGCTGAGCAACAGCCTCCAAGAGACCGAAAACTTGAAGCGGGAGCTCAAGGACACGCGACGTCGCGCAGAGAAAGCCGAACGTGTGCTTTCCAGCTACCAGAAGCAGTCCCCCGTGACGACAGAAGCTCCCGCCGAAAATCAAGACGAGAGCTCGTACATTGCCGAGCTTGAAGCTCGTGCGGCCCGCCTACTGGCCGAGAAAGAGGAGCTAGAGGCACGTCTGTCGCGTTTGCAGGAGAATTGGGTCGACTGCGAGCAGTATCTCGTCGAGGCCGAGTCAGCGGCCGCAAATGCACGCGTCTCTTTCACGAATATCATGGTCTCGCGCGGCGGCATATTAGTGTCCAAGAACGGTCCACCACCGTACGCCGTTGCATTCCCCCACAGCAAACAAGCGCTGTCGGTGCGCACTTCGGTGCACTCTAGTCGATCTAGTCATCCTTTATCTGCCCAGCAGACGTCATCGCTTCCTCCGGCCTCTTCCCGTGTTCGCCCCCGCGCAGGCAGTCTCGACGGCTCCGCATATGCTTTGACCGGTCCTGGTGGTCCGCCGCCGGCGAAGCGTGCGCGCAATGACCGTGACCATGAAATGGGCCGATACTCGGTACGTGTGTGTTATATATCGCGGTTCGCTGTGCGCTTACGGATTCCCTAGCCAAATGGCCAGGCCGAGCACTCGCCTTCGCTCCAGCATCCATTGCCCGCGGATTCACCCTACGTCCACGCCCACCCAAGCTATCATCGCGGCCGTGACGGCGAACCTGTTATCCGCTATACTGACGTTCAAGGCCAGTCTTCGCGTCACCCGCATCGCGGTCGTCGCGAACACCGTGACGCGTCGCGGTCGCGGTCGCGGTCCCGCAGCCGCTCGAGTATTGACGAGATGATCCTCGAGGCGACAACTGGCGAGGACGTGGATGCAAATGGAAACCCTATCTCTCGTGCCCCTGGACAACAACACTTATCGCCCAACGCACACTTGCACTCTCGTCGTCACCGCTCCCTGTCTAACGAACGGGAGTATCTGGCCATCCCGCAACACCACTCGCGCTCTCGTGGCTCATCGCACCACTCGCTGCACCCGTCCATGTCAGGTTCAACGATTCTCCCGGGTGGCGTGCCGCAAGGTCCTGGCGTCCCCGGGAATGCCGTCAGCCATCATAATACTATCCAGACGCATATATTTGCGCCGCCTGTCACCGGTGCTCCTGTGAAGAAGAGTGAGAGGCTCAGTAACTTTTCTCATCCCTTTTGCTGATGTTGTACAGCCTCCACTGCAGGTCAAATTGCCGGCGCCACGACGATCGCGAGCGGCGGCTATCCCCCGACCAATGCCGCTGGTCAACGTATCTGCCGCCAGTGCGGTCAACCTGGACGCTACAAGGACGGCAAGTGTGTCGAGAAGTGGGGTCCAGGACCAGAAGGCCCCGGTACCGTGTGCGACAGGTGCCGCAAGAAAATGAAGCGGGTTGAACGCCGTGGTACACTCGATGCGCAGCAGCTAGCTGCAAACCATGGTCCCGCCGCCGTACACCCCTCTGCGGCTGCGTCGCTACACCCGCCTACCAACGGTCGAAGTATGCATCTTTCCTCACAAGATACATCGCGGTCGGTTCATCGGTCGGATACGCTTCCTGTTCACCAGATGTCCAGCCGCTCTCTCGGTCTGTCGGGTACGCAAATCATCCCGAGTGGTTCGTACGTTTACCATGAATCGCGGACACGTCCTGGGTCACCGACACAGTCGGTTGATGCTCACCTACCTCGTTCCGCCCAGCGTTCGCCGCCAACACCGCCACCTATCTCGACCATCCCCCCGAGTAGTCAGGAGGCTGAGGAGGCGGCATACGAGCTAGAGCGAGCGGCATCGCGAAGCAAGAAGGGCTCTCGTGTGCCAACGCCTCGCGTTGACAGCCCTGAACAGATGCCTTCGCGACCTGCAACGGCCACCAATGGCCACACCTCGGCTCCTGCGACGCAAAACGGCGGCTCGCCACGCTCCCCTGCTAATGCACCCACGCTTGCTCCTATTGCCCCCGCGTCAGCCCCAGCCAAGAGCAAACCTACGTCCATGGAGGTTGACCAGGACGCAGAAGGTGACGCCGACGCTGATGCTGAAGCGGACGCCGACGCTGAGCCCGACGCCGACGCCGACGCTGATGCCGACGCGGAAGCGGAGCTTCTCGAAGCCGTGGATGCAGCTGAAGCTAACCACGCGAGTTCCGGGGAAGAGTGGCTCAAGAAGGAGGATTCATAACCCCATACGTGTCCGTCCTTCTGTATCTCATCTTAACTGTTTAAAGTGTATACCGTTCGATAGACCTTGCTGCCTGTTTCGTTGATCCTTGCAGTGTTTCTGTTGTATTTTTTCCCATTTCTGCATGTATGCTAAATGGTAAACGTTGGGTAAACGATGATATTCGTATAAATACATGACTCTATTCGGCTCGAGAATTCAGCATTCTACTCTTGCAAGGATGGTTTGCGAAGGAGTAAGAATTCGCAGAGTTGCGAAGTTATGGACGCATCGACCTCTTTGTGGCGTCTGGTTATTGGCGTCGATACTGGCTCGCGGGGAGCGTGAATACGGTCGCATCTCGAGTCTCTTATTGTACAGTGGACCATGACGACAAGAATGTACTGATACAGTAAATGAACAAGGACAAACTCAACAAGAAAGTACGGATTATTGAACATTTTAAAGTTCAATCTCGGGGACGCTTCGTGCTGATGGGTACCACTTATTCCACATCTTCTCGTCTTCCAACACTGCTTTGCAATAGCGAATGAATTCTCCATCACAGCTTCGTACTCTCATTAGCGTATAATCTAAAGAAATAGTAACAACCGCTCACCACTTGGGGTCCTCATTCGCCCTTTCAGGAATATCTACATACAACTCCTGTATCATCTTCATCGCTTTCTTGAGCTTTGGATCGCTCACGACGTAGCAATGCCAGAAGCCCGGCGGTCGGCGGACCTTGGCTTTGATTGCGCGCCCAGCGGTACCATCCCGTCCCACTCGCTTCGTCATCTCCCAACTCGTAACAAAGCACGGGTCGTGCGAGATTGGAGGACTAACCCCATCTCCCAGCACTGTCGGCACCTCCACGCCCTCTGTGTTTAATGGCAGGACCCAGCTGTGCCTGTCGCCGATCCAGCGCAGGCCCACAGGGAAAGCCTGTGCTACACTGCGCTCGAGCTCGCGCTGGCGGGTACAGTGCGGGCACTCGGCACATTCGCGCGGGCGGAACAGCCGGAGGACGATCTCGTCGGTCGTGCCATGCTCGGGCGGTGGGGTGGGTACACTGTGTACGAACGTCCAGCCGCGGAAGGTGTACTTCCTTTGTACGGCAGCTTCAAGCTGGCGAGCAGGAACGAGAGAGAGCGAGAGACGATGATGGAAAGTAGCGAGCGGATAGAGCGAGTAGGCGTGCGAGAAGGAGATAACGTTAAGCACGACGGCTGGATTTATGATGTTAGTACGAGATACGCGGCTCATAGGCGATAGTACGCACTAGAGTGGAAATCAAAAATCGCCTCCATGGGGCTGTTGTACGCGACGATAATTTGCACCTTGAGCCGCCTACTCGGTCCGTCCAGGCTCTCGACGCGCCTGGTGAAGGTGTACACGGCCGATACGGCTCGCAGGCGGCTGTATGGGCTGCCCGGCGGCGCCGTACCAGGAACCCGCGCCTGCTCGAGCGCGACACGGAAAGACGGATCCTGCCGACTATTCGGTTTAAAATTGTAGCCCTCATGTTGGATGAGCCACCAGCCAAGCTCTGCGCGTGCCTCGTACGCGCAGTAGATGTCGAGGTCCGCCTCGGGATAGTGCACGCGATCGAGGAACTGTAAAGCACTGGAGCCCGAGATGAGCGCGCTGGTGCGGGCCTGCAGCGAGCGAAAGGCAAGCGGGGACGTGAAGAAGTGCGAGAGGTGGGCGTTGATGTTGAAGGAGCGGGTGATGTGGGAGCGGACGGCAGCATGTGCAGCATGGCAGGTACGCGAGAGGCGCATGAGGGCGGAGGGTGTGCTGAACCAGAGAATCAGGTCGTAGAGCAGGTCATTCGTCAAGATGCGCTCAGAGAACGTGGAAACCGGGACCTCGGCGACTTCATGGTTATTGAAGGTCGAATGCCGGGAGCTTGACCTAGAGGAGGGCACAGAGTAGGACGGGTCTGTATCTGAGATGACTTCGACGACGCTCGACCTGGCTGGCTGGCTTGATGGGGGAGAGCTAGCCGGTGAAGAGATCTCGGAGTTTCTGGTAGCTTGAGGATCCTCGGGTATGTGAGGTGTGGTCTGTTGACTAACTTTTAGATCTTCGAATGGCGACCAAGGCCCGTCTTCTACTCAATCACATCAAGTCTGCGACGAAGTTCAGGGTTTGGTCAACTCGCCATGATAGGACCGTGCGACATGCTTGACATCGTGCAACCACTTCAAGGAAGAGTAGAAGATGATGGCGGCTAATACAAGACAGTCGTACAAGCCTAGCTCTACATACTGATGTTAAGAATACGCCTTAATTGTGATTTCTCTCTCCAAAATATAGATGTCTCTGCTCACCATCTTCGATGACACTATTTCCTTGCTACTCACTCATTCGTCCCAGGAGTTGTTAGGCTGGCTTTTGGCCAGCAATGTCCGCAACCAGATTAATCAGAACAGCTGGTGAGGAACAGTAGTTGAGGTCGACGGTGCACGAAGCGAACAGTATGTATGTCGGTGAAAAGACATGGCTGAGGCGTGCTTAGGCGTTCATATGTCCAAAACTGAGGGCGCATCACGGGCGGGGCTGATGGCGGGATTGATTGAACCACCTCGTCTCATGAACCGTATGGTACGACCTGACTTAGGCGGCCATGTATCTGAACTTGTACCCCTACTCTCACCGATTACTATACTTGTTCTCTATGCCACAGCTCAGTCTGTCTCAATATCAACATCGCAGTAATGAAGAATGCAGCCGACCTCCCAGACCCTACCTTTGACGCCTTGTCCGCCTCGGAGGACGTGCGGGACAATATTCGAAATATACCCACACCTCGCTGCGAGAACATGGTGGAACGACTCGCAGCACGAGAACTTCGGGCTCATCTGAACGACCGCCTCGTGAAAGGTGAATTTACAGAAGACCAGGACGCATTGACGATCCACCTCCTGCATGGACTGGCTTACACGGCCGGCTCTGCGCTCGGCTCGACCCCTCCGACGCAAGAGCAGTGTCTCTCCGCATTTCTGGTCCCTAACAAAGTTGGCCTTACCGCAGGAGCACGCGCATGGTCAAAACATGCGCACCGGTCAGGGGGCTCTGCGGACTCTGTCGTTGATGACCAGGAGAAAGATAGGAAGGCAGCACCTTCGGGCTGGTGGGGCACGCCGAGAGGGCCTATTGCGGGCATTAATGAACATGCACTCGTACTCTTCCGGAAGATCATGGGCGATGCGAGTTGGCGCAACCTTCACTGGCTTCCACACGGTGTACTCGTGTACGAGGTGCGCGTCCCCGAGGGCTACGGGATGCGCTGGGCACAGGACTTGTCAGGCCTGCTGGACGAACAGGATCGGACGCGCGTGAGGGTAGAGTGCGAGGAAAGGGTGAAGGGTCGGCCGTGGATATTTAGAGGGTTTGTCGAGCCAATGATGGAGAATGGGCATGAGGTCGGTTGGAGGCATTGAGCAGGCGAGTTGCGCAGTGAATTGTTTCTAAGTCATCATTATTGACGGTCATCGTGTCGTGTTCTGCCACAGATCTAAAAACAACTCCCTATGCGCACCGCAATTCGGTACAGCTGCACAACTGCGATTTCGCCCGGGGTCGTTTGCATGCGTCGATGCTCTCATACACCATGATCACCGCCCGACGGCGGGCGTACGCTTTCAACTTCACCCAGTAACTTTCTGCCGCAGCGCTGCTTCAGACTGCTTCGTTCCGCGAGTTCCCGAGGCAAACTAACTATCATGCTTTCTATGGTATGCTACAATCCGACGTGGTATTTGCAAGTTATCCTCCGGTGTTGAAGGACTCGACGGACCAGGCTTTCGCGTACAACGATCCTTGAGACAGCGCTAGATGACTGGGTCGCACTCGCATACGATGCCATTGGGTCTGCATACTCCTTCCCTTCCAACCTTATGTCGACACGCACACATGACCTCCAGTTTCAATGTGCTTTGGTGTCTTTCACCGGCCACATAACGCGCTCACTTTCTTGTCTCGAACGAGGCACTCCACCGCATATCTGAGACGGTCTCCATCAACACAGCACGTCCAGCGACGCGATTGTACTCTCATTGGTGTTTGCGGTACAACGAAAACGGTGCTAGCAAACGCGATCTCGTCAGAGTTGTGATGGGCCTTCGAGTCCGATGACGTTCTATACCAGCGCTTTACCTGGCCTCTCACCTCCATGTTGACAGCCTCACATCGCCCTGTAACTCTCACAACGCCGGTCAAGCGTATTGATGTACACCACGGGATTTCCAACGCAGACTCCGCGCCGTTTAGGGAGGCAAAAGAGGGCGCAGATTCATCGGCTTCACGCGGTAGCGCCTTCCCTCCCCCTCCCCCCGGCGGCACACCTCGGAGTTGACTTAGCACCGCTGCATCTTTAACAGCGAAAATCTCCGAACTTCCAAGCGCCCTAATCCACACTTACAAAAAATTTGGGTTGTCTTCGTCGAAGGTGACCAAGACATGAGAAAGTGGCCCTGAACGTCGCCCGCCCTCACCCACGGCCATGGTCCGTGCTCTTGCTACGGTGTCCACCTCATCACATACACACACGGGCGGCACCTGTACCGCCACCGGCGCATCCAGTTCGAACCCACACGCCTTTTGCTTTTGTTCCCTCAGCAAAATGATGGCCGTGTACCGTGTCCAGCGATGAACTCGATGGCGAACCACGGTTATCTTCCTCCGGATGACAAGGGCATCACGACGGACGACATCATCGACGCGCTCATGCTTCCCGCTCGAAGCCCCTTGCCTGGGCCCTCGCCCACGATGCTCTGCTCCTGCTTGACCAGGGCTCGAGCCCGTTCGAGCTGCACGATCTCGCGAGGCACAAAAAGGTCGAGCACAACACGAGCCTGTTCCATCCGAACGCAGGTGAACACGAGGGATACGCACCGATACACAGCGATGTGCAGCTCCTCAAGGAGTTCTTCGAGACGTCGAAGGACAGAGGCATCATGACTCCCGGGGACGTCGCCCGCGTGAGAGTCCGTCGCGAAGCCCCTATGCCTCTGGTCCTTGTGCATGCCGAGCTCGCGTGTGAGGAGGTGGCAATCGTGCTCAACATTGTCAACAACCTCGATCCGGCGCTGTACGCTGCGGGTGTACTCCTCCAGCTGCGGAGGAGTGCGGCCCCGCGACTCATGGGGGCGTAGGTTGGGATGAAAGACACGGTAGAGACCAGACAGCTGGACGGCGTGCCAATCGAGTGGACGCGTTACTGGTTCGAGTGCGAACAGCTGCCGCCGGACTGGGAGTCGTTCCACACAATGACGCTCCTCCAGACCATAAGCACGATCAACTGGCTCCGGAGCGCGATGAGTGGGATGAGGAAGGAGGCGAAGGCAGAGGGGCAAGCGACGAAGGGAGAGGCCGCGGCCGAGACCGCGGTCAAGGTCCAGAGTGCGGGAGTCGCCCAAGTCGAAGACAAGCGCGACAACAACATGCAGGCGCCGACCGAGAAGGAGCTGTCCACAGACGACGAGAATATAGAAGGTTTGCAAACACTGACTGTCCCGCCGCTTGTACACTCGAAGACCGCGAGCTCTGTGACGAGTGATACCTTCATAGAGTCGCTCTTTTGCAGTCCGCTCCTGCCGTTCTTGTGAGCGCGTCCTTCTCTTTTGCTCCATCATGATCGTTATACGTGCCTATCTATCAGCTACTCTGTCTGTCTGTTGTTATGCTCTGCTAATTTACTACTTATGTCGTCGTATTCTGCTATCTGTTCATTAGATCGCCTCGCTGAATCTATGTTTGCACTTTAACACTGGGATCTCAACATGCGTGACATCCATGATCACAGTCGAGCAGAGGCAAGATCATATTCACGCAGGTAGCACAGGCGGATTCGTATTTATCCGAGAGTCCTCTCAAGTCACTTGTGCGCGTCCGCTTCATGGATATCCTGCATCACTATTTTCGCCTCAGGCAGCCTATTTCTTCGTTTACAACTCATCCCTCACGTTTCTCGTCGTATTCTTCTGTCGCCACGTTCTGTTAGCGCGCGTTCTGCACTCTCAACAGAAACGGAGCACGCACAAGTGTCTCACTGCCCCAGCTCGCGGGCGTTGCGCTCATCTCGAACTCTATGTCTGCGCCGTTCGCAATCTGCTCGTGTCTGATGATCGGTGCGGAGAGCGGGACGCCATCAATGGTGACGGCAGTGACGTAGGGTTTGCCAGACGACGCGCCCGGCGCGGAGATAACGAGTGGCCGCGCAGCAGAGGGGAGTGAGAACGAGATGTAATCGAAGAACGGGCTGCAGATCAAAAGTGAGTGGAAAGACTCTGCAGAGGCGGTAGATACATATTAAGACGCACCTGCCGACGATGTACTCGCCCGAGACGGGGTTCACGGGGTAGAAGCCAAGCGCGCTGAAGAGATACCATGCGCTCATCTGACCGCAGTCTTCGTTCTGCAAATGAAATACAGCGCATCAAGCTCTGTGGATTTCATATTGGGAACAAAGCGAAGACGCACCCCGGACAGCCCATTCACAGTGGCGTTGTAGTTTGCCGCAGCAATGGAGCGGACACGCTCCTGCGTGCGCGAAGCTGCGCCCGCGAGGGAATAAAGGTAAGGTATATGATGCGAAGGCTGATAGTGGATGAATTAAAACACGGTATATACGATTTAATGACGACATACCTCGTTTGTTTGGTCATTATGCCCTGCGCTCGGTTCTTCAGCCTCTGAATCTTGTCCACGCAGATGTCACGTACCACCGTCGAAGTGTTCATCCAAAAATGCCACAAAGCTCGCGTTCCCACCCCGCAGGGCAATGAGTCGTGGGACATCATGTACAACGTCGAACGTGTACGCCCACATGTCACCCTCTGTCCAACCCTCGTCCTGGCCTGCCCATGCTCCACTCACGTTCCGGGCTTCCATGAAGCCTGTCCCGGCGTTGAAGATGGTGAACGGTGATACCATTGAGCGGTTATGGAAGAACTCGGCGTCGGCAGGTTTGTTCAGGGCGGATGCAAGGACGGACACGGCGTAGTCGTCGTCTGCGTAAGAGTCTCCGGTTAGTTCTGCACGGAAAGATAAGAGTGTAGCACGGCCGTACATGAGTAGTCAAGCGTCCTCGATGCGCTCTCACTGTGTATGTCATTTGCGACCCAGCCTTCGGTAGCATATACCGAGGTGAGACCTGCACGGACTTCGTATCCAACGTTCTATGCTTGTCTGTTAGGGTCTCTAATCCACTGACTCGCGAATAGAAGTACCTCTTCCCGATCATAGTATCTGTCGTCACAGCCAGTCAGGTCGGTCAGCGCAAGTAGATGCTAGATTAGCTCGGCGACGTACGATATAGTCCAGTCATCTGTTGGCGGGACGGTCGCGTCCTTATGCACAGCTTCCCACGCGAGGTCGGCATCGAAACCGGTAAAACCTTTTAGGACGGCCTCGGCGACCAGCGAGTCGGCGTGTGTGCCGATCATGATGTTCGTCTCTGCAATGCGCATTCAGCCTATCAGCGTCGGGCAAAGTGAAAAAGACGCACCGACGATGTTCTTCCACATAGGGAGCCATCCACCCTGAGCATATATACTGATCAGTCGTCGCCCGAACGATTGAGAGCCAAATAAAGCGCATACTTCTTTGTAGTCTTGCAACATGCTTTGCACCATGTCATCAATCCGTTCTGGAGCTAGAAGGATCTGCCAGGCCCAAGCTGCACGGAAGGTATCCTAACAGGCCAAGCGACATCAGAGCACATAAGGCGATTCGAACAGTGATAACGTACCCAAATTGAGTATCCAGTGTATGACTCGCCCTCATGCACGGTATCGTCGTAACCAGAGTAGTACTGCCCGTCTTCGCTTTGTTCGTAGGGATACTGCTTCGAGTCAGTTTACATCCAGAGAATTGCAGCATGGGATCTTCACCTGAAGCGCGTGGTACACGCCAGTGTAGAAAATCTCTTTGTCGGTATCATTTGCACCTTGAATTTCGATCCTGTCCAGTTTTTCCGCCCATGCCTCGCGCGTGCTGCGCGCCGTTTCTTCAAGAGTCATCCCGTCGGGTATCTCGGTCTCCAAGTTCTTTCGCGCCTGGTCGACCGAGATGAACGACACACCGATGCGCACGTCGACTGTGGTCACGTCCTCCTTAAACTTGACGTATCCCGCGACTTGCTTGCCTTCGGCACTCGTTATGTTCGGCTGTAACGCGCCATCTCCAACGCTCGCTGTGCCCCACTCCATGGCTGGCTCGCTGAACCGCGCAACAAAGTATGCACAGAAGCCAGGCGCAGGGTTGGGCCCGATGATAAAGTCTTGACGTTCTGCGTTTGTGCCTGTGATTTCACGGGCAGAAGGATCGATGGCGACGGACCCGTGCGGGAAGGTGACGTTGGAAGGATCGGCAGAACCCATAACTGAGGCACGTGAAGCCTCAAGGAGAACCCATGGGCTTGTTGTACCGGTGAATGTGAATCGGAGGTGACCGACGCGCGACGCTATAGCGGTGTTAACCCAGTAACGGCCGGAGAACATAATGCAGAAACGTACTAGCACTCTGCTCAGCAAAAATGTTCCCACCATGTGAGGCATCCATGTGCACACTGTAATAGCTGGCGCTGATGACCTCATTGTCGTGCGAGAAGCGCATTCCACGATCCTCGAAGTGCGGTGTCACATCGCCTGAGCCAGGAACGAGCACGACCTGCCCACTCTCGCCCATCCATATTGCGGGCTGGTGCGTGCCTTGGAAGCCGTGAATCGTAGTGTCGGTATAGTTGTACGGTGTCACAGAGACGTAGTTTTCGCGCGTTTGCGCAACCCAGCGCGTCATTGCGAACGGAGGTGCGGTCGAGGGGATCATCCCGCCTGAACCGTTCGGAGAGTCGCCCCCATTACCTATCAGACTAACGTAATATTGGTGATCAAAGCTGCTGGGTTTCGAAAGTTTGGATGCACTTACGGATCGACATGGTCTACCGCGTCGCTGGGCGGCTCCCGAAATGCCTGTGGCGGGAGCTGGCGCGTAGCGACGGGGCAAAGACCTGCGAAGACAGAGAGAGTTAGCAAAATACCAGCTAGCATAACGTGCATTTTCCAGACGTGCGAGCGCGAGAGGGTGCTCGTGGACGTCAAGGAGCAAGGTTAAGATGGCTCAAGCGAAGTGATCTCACATGAACGTATGCACGTGACTTCCGGCAAGCCTCGTGCCCAAGAAGACGGCGAGAATGGGCAGTTGCTTGGATAGTATTGATATCTTTCTGGAATAATTTGGTGATTCAGATGCTTATGTACAGACGACGAGAGTAAACAGGGAAGTGAACCAAAAGCTTGCATTGGCGCTGCACAGCAGGAGTAGGCATGTCTTGTGACCGTGAGAAGAGCCGACCTTCCCATATAGCGACATAGCGCATCATTGATGCGTCTCCCGGCCGCATTGCTCGTGCATTCCATTGCACTTGACTATCACCATGTCCATTTCCTGCGCAGCACGCCTAATGCCTACGTCAAAATATATTGTCTATGTCTCGAACAGCATAGTTATTTATGTCCACGAGCCCTCAGGCCTCAAGACAAGGATGGCTCGTGGTACCGCCGTTCAGTACTCAGTACTCAGTAGCGAGTCATCGCACAAAGGCATGAAGGGGCGGCGGCGATCCCAATCAGTTGTGTAAGGCTTCTATCGAGCGCATGCATGAAACAGCGGATGAGGCTCATGGGGCCGGGCGCATAGCCGCTCAAACTGCGTTAGTTGCACATACTTCACCAGCCACGACGAACCTTGGAGTGATCGCTCTGCATTCTGCAAAGCCTGTCTCTTATCTCTGACAATACTTGCGCTAGGAGACGTTCAAATAGGAGTCCGAGAGCTGCAGGCAAGTATGCTTGCGGTCAAAACCTCGAGTTGCCAGCTGGGCCGGAAAAGAGATCCTGGGGTCGGCGGCGAATTGCCAGGTTTTGGCCGGCAAAGCTAGCATATCTATGGCGTATACTGTAATCTCCTATGATAGTGTAACGTCTTCAGACGTAATTCTTGAATATCTAATTCAACTTTCGATGAGATAAACCGGACACTCCAGATACTCTGAGGTTCAGCGAGTACTGATACGTATTCAGATAAGCCAGACGATAGGATGTACGTAGACAGCAAAGACAAGCAGTGTCAGCAGTTAAAGGTGGAGGAAAGCAGACATTACGCTGAAATCGGCTCCGAGGGCGGGTCACTTTGTGGCGCGGCGAAACCTGACAAAACTGCGGAGATAGTCCATATTCATGTCCGATATGCAGCAGCGTATACAGACAACTAGCATGGTCTACAATGTGCTACACATCAACAGGTCTGTGTGTGGACACGCCCTAGAACTCGAACTCGATCAACAGCGCCTCGCTCGACCTAATGTCGATCCCCTGGGCGACAGGCACGCTCTCGACGACCACGGGTCCACTGGGGCTTACGTCCGACGTCTGCTCGTACGACTGGCCCGCCCACGTCAAGTTCGAGAGGTCGTCCGCGTGGTCGACAACGAGCCGTCGCACCTGCATCATCGCATTGGCAAACGAGCTAACGCTTGCGCCGCCCGCAGCCGGAGGCGTCGCGACATCCGGGAGCACGAAGCCAAGGTCGAGGTGCACGATGGGACGGACGGCGCCTGCGGTGTCCATGCTACTGAGCCACGCGTCGAGGTTGACGAAGACGGCGCGGCGGAGGACGCCGGCGTCGTAAGCGGCGTAGCCGCTCACGTTGTCGAGCGGGACGGTGAGCTCGACGATGCGCGCACTGCTCCAGGCGCTGCTCGACGGCGACATGAGCGTCCCGTGTGAGAACGGCCACGGGAACGAGAGCGAGTTGGGCGAGATCAGCGTGTCGATTAGGAGCGCGGCGTAGTAGGATGGCTGGATGTGCGGCGGGGAGGGCGGGTCAAGCGGTGAGCCATCAATGGTGGAGCGATTCAGCGAGATCGGCTGGATCTGCAGGTGACAGTGTTCATCAAGTGTGCGCATAGACGCTATTGAGTAGGAGACGTACAAAGTTGTATTTGAAGCCGACACCTTCGTGGAAGTAGAGCTCGCCGATGCCGATCGTGCTCGCAAACAAAGTGTAATCAACAACCCAAAGCGCCGCACCAGCGGTATTGGACACGCCGGGAGCACCATGACACGCTATCGACCCGGTCTCGCTGCACAAATACCTATAAGCTTACACGCCTGAGCGCTAATGAAATGACGTACCCGAGAATGTACACCAGGCCCTCCTGCACAGTTGCGGCGATGTCGTCCTCGAAGAGCGTCAAGTTACTACGGACGGCCGACTTGGACATGAAGGACACCAAAGGGAAGTCTCCACCCTGACAGAATGCTGCCGAATATCGGTGCTGCGAGACCCTGCGGCACGTCAGCGCGACGAGTGACGACGTGAGTAAAGGAAACGGCGACATACACAGTGACTAGTTCGCCCGGCGTGCTGTTCAGCAGGCCCAACCCGAATACTTCGGTGGGCGTGAACCCTTGGCCTGCGAAGGAGCACGCTTGAATCTGCACAGGACCTTGGACCGTATTGGAGCTGCGTTCGACGAGAGATCGACTACCAGGGTCTGAACGACGTGAGAGCGGGTGGGATTGGATGGCTTGAGCGACAGGGGTCGAGATATTGATCCAATCGGGTACGTAGTCATCCACATTATAGGTAGACGGGCGAAGGCCATTGTTTGAGTATAGATCGGGTTCGTTACCTGGGAATTGTGTCGGTCAGTTAGTTTTGAGAATGGCAGACCCTACGATGCTAACCAATCTCGATGAGGTCGAGTACAACGCCACTTTCTTGCACGACAGATGTTAGGAAGGCGTTAAGAATCGCGTTTGCCATGTTCAGAGCGTTCGTCGCGTTGTCGAGGCCCAGGTTCACTCCCCATGTCATGTGCGTTCCTGCAAGGAATTTTACAGTCAGATCAGATCCACGCGAAGAACGAGAAGTTCGTGCCTGAGGGAAGCCACTGGGATAAGACGTAGAATTCGTTGCCAACGGCAATGTGCGTCGCTTCGGGGTATGGCGTCACGGTGTTCGGCGGAGGGAACTCGTCGACGTTCACCTGGAAAAGGTTTAACTCTGTGGGGATGCATCACTCCAGAGATTACGTACCGTGACTGTCGGGTCCCAGACCGTCTTATCCTCCGAATTCGCACCGACCCTAATCTTCGGAGGTCGCCCGGTCAGCTCTGCAAGGTTGCTCAGGGCAGCATGAGTGAACTCGTTCCGAGAGTCGATGCCTGTCCAATCCGGCCACCTGTCCTGCTCAATGCTGAACGACAGAAGAGTATTCGACAAAGGTTGGCTGGTAGGGGGTGCGAATATAGGAAGAGTCACGTTTGCGGACGTCGCGTTCGCAGAGGACTGCGCAAGGCATCCGACGAGGGAGCCTGAGAGCAAGGCTGTGGACAGAGCGAGGAGCATGGCGGTGCTGGCTCGACTGAGAGTCCTCAGCCAACCTTAAGGCAAAGGGAGTGCAGCCCGGGTGCTGAAGGACATTCAAGTTGCAATGCCAGGGCGCAAAAGAAGGCGGGCGGCGGGTCAGTTGACATTGTTCGTAGGGGTGATCATTTCCGTTTGGGGATCAGAGACAGTCCAGCTTAATGTCAGGGTCGTCGAGCACGATGGGAATGATGACGAGGCCATCTGCTAGACCTCGTGTCCATGGCTTCTATTACGGCGTATTTGGGGAACCACGGAGGCCTGCTGCTCATGTGATGATCCAACCATGCGGAGTCGAACACTGCCCTGCCTTCGCTGTCTAGACCACTTGACCTCCGAGCAAAGAAATCCGGTCCGCGCCATTCGACAACGAAGATGTCCACAGTTGGAAGGCAAAGGGAGCGGAGGCGAAGGGAGGGGCGAATCGGGTACGACCGCGCCACGAAGCGGGCGTCCATCTCAAATCCACGCACACCATTCGAGGCACTATTCCTTTTGCAGCATCTCACACAAAATTTCGACTCGAGGGCGTCTGAGGACCGTTTACAGCTCACCATGACACCACCTGCCCCAGCCATAACAAGGCTTTGAGAATACACTTTGAGCTGGTCAGCTAGATCTGTGCTTTGTGGGCCGTTAATCGTCTGCACATTCAGGGACGACTCGGAGAGAATGAAGAAGGGGATTGCACATGGGTCCTGCCGTCTCTGTCGCACAAACCTGAGGAGGCCCTGTGTCCTTCCGAACCAGATAGCGAGCTAACAGGAACATGACCCGGCTTTTCGACTCACCAGCTGCAAATCCTGCCTATGCAGAGGCATCCGGACTGCTGCGGCACTGCATCTGGTCGTCTCAAAGAGCCGGGCCGTAATGCACCCACGGGATTGCTCGTCGAGTTTGAAGGTCAGAGTCGCAGGATAGCCATTCGACTATAGAAAATAGGATAGCGGTAGCGGCCTCGTGTGGCCTGGTTTCTGAGCATCACCAGGACTGGTTGATGGGCTCGAAGAGAGGTCCAACATACGCAAGGCGGGATAAGATCAAGGGTATAAGGTAGTCGAGCTGGCACAGCCTCACTTTTTGTTTAGCAAGCGTCAGGCGCACCTCGATGAACTATACACGGGCCGACGAATGCTCGGGAGACAGACAGAGCTGAAGAATGGCAGGCCCAGCATGTAAGATACTGTGCGGTCATAGTAAGCTCGCCGTCGGAGGGGAGCGGTCATGCTGTGTAGCACACCGAAGTGCTAACTAAGTGACATTTGCCGACCGATGTCAGCAGCTGAGGACACAATCTTCGGCCGAGGTTCATCGCGTAATTCTGGGGTGGAGGACGCCTGCTGCTAAGCTTGCTGACCCCTCTGCGCTGGCTGTGGTAAGTTCGGCCTGGTTACACACGGAAGTCGGACAGCGGCGCAAGCAGGCGACGCAGTCGGAAATGCTTCTCAGTACAGTCAAGGCGGCAGCGGCCAGCACGGAAAGTGTACGGCAATAACTAAGAGGGTAGAGCAGCGAGAGTACATGCGATCCACACTTGGTACGCAATACTTCAGACTCTCAGAGCTATTTCTGGTGCACCTGACGCGTAGGAAGGTACAAGAAGCTGGAGCCGAAGCGCCCAACACGGCGGAACGGGCAGACTTGGGGAGGCAAGCACTTCTCTTCCGAGCGAGTTGTGAACGATACAGACTGTGCGCTGTGACATAAGAGTTCTGCGAAGCATGACGTGCGAAGCAGATCACCCAAACCACTGCACGAAGGCACCATCGCGAGAACTGGTGAAACAAGCAGCCGATAGTGCGATGCACGGGATGTCATCGTAGCGGATCTCCACATCTCTTCCCTGTGTCCGTGGACCGTGTCCATCCCTCCGGCAGGGTCGAACCCATGGAGCACGGAAAGCGCCTCGAGGGTGTGAGAGCAGGGTCGCCCGATCCTCCTGATCATGATTACACTGTTTCAGGACCGGAGGCCATTGTAGGTAGTCGGTAAAGCGGCGAAAGACCGTAATAGTAAGCGGTCGGGAGCATCGGTTTATCGACTTACGGTAGAGCCGCGAAGATGAGTCCTCCTGCACTTACCGGTCAGAATGCTGCTATGAATCCTTATCTATAGCTTTCATAGTGGTAAGCAAATGAAAGCAAACAGCCTATGGTGCGCCATTGAGGCGTTCGGAGCAGATCGGTTCGTTTGATGCACCACGTGATGACATCTCTCGGATCCGAAAATCCGACAAACACGATCTGACTTTGAGCAATGAGCAGCCTCAAGAATAACCGGAAGCTTGAGCATGCAATTCTCGCATAGCGGGCCTGGAAGCTGGAACGGTTCACAGTGTCTTGATTGCCAGTCATTGTCGCTGGCGATATAAGCTTCGAGCGGTCACGAGAAACCCGGCGCACCCTTGCGAACCCATTCAAACTCTGCTCGTCTTCCCAGTCTCGGATGGCCCTGGCAGCTCACGACGACATGATTGTGTCACGTATTGGTGCGTGCCTCTCCTTTAGTTATTACGAACGCTCATCAATTTGACATGAACAAGACATGGCGATTCTGTGGAAGCAAAGGAAGAAGCGACCCTGCATAGACGATAGCCCTACCCGGTAACTTCAGGGGCGAGGCGATTGGCCCGCAGAAGAAGCACCAGCCGGACGGCATGGAATGCAATTTTATCCACGCAGCAGCGCTTTCACGCTTCTCTAGTCTTGAAGATTCTTCCCACCACTCCACGTCTGCAGGCACTCGGAACCCGTATATATACCCGTCATGGTCTCTGAGCTAGCAGCATTGAACCATCGAATCATCTCCTTCTACAGTCTTCTACGTACAGCAAATTACAACGACAATGTCTGGCCTCACCGACTACCCTCCCTTCCCCGACGACGTCCCCACCGTTCCTCTGCTTGTTATCGACTACCAGCTCATCAAGAGTGGCGACCAGGCCGAGATCGACAAGCTTTGGGAGGCAGCTACCAAGCTCGGTTTCTGGTAGTGAGTACTGCTCGGGTGTATTATACTGCGACCACTGCTGACCTGCTCGCGATCAGTCTGAAGAACCATGGAGCAGAGGAGGACACTGAGCAAATGTTCCGGATGGGTGCAGAAACGATGGATCTCCCTCTGGAAGAAAAGCTCAAGTTCGAGCAGGGCGACACCGGCTTCTCATTTGGGTACGTATTCTATTCCCGACCTATGCCCATTCCTCGCTCATCAGGGTGCTAGCTACAAGGCCGCGGGCGCAAATGCGGTCGATGAGACCGGGCGTAAGGACAGCGTCGAGTTCATCAATGTCGCCAAGGACGACGCGCTCGCACATCCCACCGTCGTGCACCGCACGTACCCGTCTACGGTCGTCGCGCGCATGGAGAACACGATCAAGCCATTCACGCTCAAGGCTGTCGAGATCAACGAGACGGTGCTGGACGTGTTCAACGACAAGCTCGAGCTACCCAAGGGCACGCTCAAGGCTAAGCATTCGTTCGAGGGCCACAGCTGCAGCGAGTCGCGTTGCATTAAGAAGCTGCCCACCCCGGAAATGACCCCCGAGCAGGCGGCGCTCGGTGCCCACACCGACTTTGGCTCTCTGGTAGGTGTCCGCGAGATGTATGTCGATGACACAGCTAACACGGGAATAGTCATTTCTGACCAACAAGTGCGGCGGTCTGCAGGTGTACCCGCCTGGTTGGAATGGGTGGTACTATGTCAAGGTGCGTGTCTCTGTCGGTCGCACAGCGAATCGGCTGACAAGCTTCCAGCCCCTCCCCGGCCACGCCATCTGCAACGTTGGTGACGCGCTTGCCGTCTTCAGCGGAGGCATCCTGCGCTCGAACATGCACCGCGTCGTGTACGTCCTCCTTTCTCTGCCTGCGCTCGCACGCCGCTCACGTCACACGCGCGCAGCTCGCCACCCAAGGAGCAAGCCGCGTTCACGCGCTGGTCGCTCGTCTTCTTCACGCGTCCGGCGAACGACATCGAGCTGCGCGCGCTCACGGATGAGTCGCCCGCGATCGCAGCTGCCGTCGCGGCGGCGCCCGACCCTGCCAAGTGGCACCCTGGCCAGACCGCGCAGGAGTGGTACTTCCGCCGCACGCGCAACCAGCGGGTCAATAACCGCACGGGCCCCGAGACGTGGCTCGCGAGCCGCGGCACAGAGCACGTCGACGACACGGTCGGCCTCGAGAGCGCGAAGCCTGTTGCAGCTGCGGCCTGAGTGGGGACATGTCCTCGTGTTAAATGTCCCATTGTTTGAATAGCTACAATTGTATGCACATGTATTATACACCCGCTGATATTGAGGATGTTGTATACAAGAAAGTGCTCTTCATGATATTCGAGGACTCGGCGGGAAATATTTCTAAGTCTCTGTTCGCTACCTTCTGCCACCTTCTGCAGTTTCAGCCCAGCAGTCTACTGCGTGCGCTCGTCACTTCACAGACGTTAGGCCCCTTTGTGGCGCCGGGAGAAGCCGGTGCCCATCCACCTCTTTGACAGACGCAGTATAGCCCTTGTCTTCTGCCGACGATGCTTGCAGGTACAGAGAGGAAGTCTCGAGTTTGACGAGGTATAGACAGCAGGTTCAATTCTTAATGTACAAGCTGCGTTGAGCAGCGTTTTAAATACAAGGGCTTAGGAAAGACGAGAAAGTAGGTTATTTGAGGGATCGTCAGCACGCAGGCGCCTAAGGGTTCACGCATCTGCCCAGAGCTCCTTTGAGGTCTCGACAACGAGTGTGAGCTTCTTGATCATGTCATCCGACGAGACCTTGTTCCCCTCCGAGTGCGATGCGAACCCACACTGTGGGCTGATACAGATCTGGTGCAGCGCCTCCTCGACCGTGCGCCGTTCGGGGCCACTCGCGATGATTGCGGCGGCATCATGCACCTTGCGCTTGAGTAGCTCCTTGTCCTCGAGCTGTGGCGCGGAAAGAGTCAACATGGGAAAGGCAGTCTCAATGAAGAGAGGGCACACCTCGGGCAGCTTGGACGAGACGAGGCCGAGGATGACTGACTTGTGCTTCGGCAGGAACTTCAGGGGTTCGAACGTGCCTGCACGCGGGGTGTCGTACTCGAGGTAGTACGTGTCGACGTTGATCTGTTGGAAAAGTTTAATTGCGATGCGATCGTAGCCGCCCTCGGAGAAGTGCATGCCGTCCTGTGCCGAAGTCAGAACTTGTCGAGACACAGAAGAGAAGGCACAGAGCAAACCTTGAAGTTCCCTCGGCAGAGGTGGAGGCCAACGACGAGGTCGGCGGGCCTGCCCTCGAGACAAGCATTGTACGCCCGGATATACGTATCCAACACCGCGTCGGGGTCGAGCCCCACCTCCTGCATGCCCGTGATCATCGAATCGGCGCAGAAGTACGCGAGCAGCGGGTCGTCGATCTGGATGTGGCGGCAGCCTGCGGCGTAAAGCTCGGCAAACTCTGCGCGGTACGCGACAGCAATATCGGCAAAGTACGCGTCGTCGTTCGCGTAGACGTCCTTTGGGTATGCATACTCGCCGTGGCGGAGGTGATACCACTCGGGCGCGCAGACGGTGAGCTTCAGGTTCTTGTGCTCCGCGGGCGAGGTCAGCGCCTTGAGCGCCTCGAACTGCGCGAGGTAGAACGGCTTCGTGCGGCGCAGCTTGCTCTCGCAGACGTATGAAGGTGCATTCTTGAAAGCGAGCTTCTTGAAACCGGCGACGTCTGGGACGTAGTCCTTGAACATGTGCAGAAGAACTGTAGGATATGTGGGCATATTGTTTCAAATTGAACCAACGAGGGCTTAGCACGAACCCTCAGGGATGAACTTCATGCCCTCCATCTGGTCGAACACGCCCTCGAAGAACATGTGTCTCCTGAACTCGCCGTCGGTGATGCTTTTGATCCCGACCTCGCGCTGCATCTGTACGATCCCACGAATGGCCTCATCCTCCGCGGTCTTCAGCTCCTCAGCAGTACACTTGCCCGCGTCGAACTGCTCACGCTTTTCAAGGAGGAACTGTGGACGCTTGAGCGAGCCAAGCTGTTCAGCGCGGTAGGGCGGTTTGACCTTCAGCGACATGTCTGGTGGGCGTCGGGGCGGTAGGGTAAGCTAAACGACTGGCAGTGTGGAGATAGCGGAGGGCAGCCGAAGGGGAGTGAGCATACGTCGATTGCGTCGCGTTCATTTGAAGGGCAAGGACGCGAACCGATGAATCAGCTCACGAGCATTTTCGGGTAAAGGATTTAGGCTGCGTGCTTTTCGTTTCCTTACTCCGGGGGTGTTCCAGTTGCTCGATTGAGGGTTGCAGACGAAAATGAGCTCTGAAACACGTGAAAGTCAGGAGGAAGGCTTCCAGAGACGAGTAAAGACGTACCTTCGAAGAGCTTTGGGCAGTTTGCTCCCACTGTCACTCGCCGACGGTGGAAAAACATTTCCACAACAGACGACCCGTGCGAAAGGGAGATATAGCGACATGCAAAAATGGACTACAGTACCCACACATGAACGGTAATGTGTCGGTCACTACCCAGCAGAGAAAGAGCAGGACAGGAGAGCCGTGGCACGAGAGAAATTTGGAACTTTTTTGTTACAAAAAATATGCGAAAACAGCCTGAAAAAATAAGTAAGAAAATGCCATATTTTCCTCCCGGTATCCGGCGGCCCGGCGACTCGGCAACCCGGCAGCCGAGCCGATTGTCCGCCAGGCCATTGTCAAAGCGCCCGTGGCTGCGGCACCCGGCGGACAATCG